CTGAGGCGGAAGGATCACCGGAGCCCAGCAGGTCGAGGCTGCGGTGGCCGGGAGTGGCCATTGCACTCCGGTCTGGGTGACAGAGTGAGACTCCAACTCAAAAAAAAAAAAGTTATCAGTATCAAAATGGAGTCACTAATGTCCTAACAACATGGAGCTGGAAGGCTATGAAGGAGAAACCCTTGGGGAATTATGCCTATGACAGGAACTATGCAAGGAATTTCTCAAAACTTCAGCAATCCAGATGAGCCACTTGCATGGGGATATTAGTGTAACAATGATCTGATGCCACATCCTGTGACAAGCCCCCGAGTCCAATGATCTTGGTTTTAAAACAGTTTATGATAGGCCGGGCACAGTGGCTCAAACCCGAAGTCCCAGCATTTTGGGAGGCTGAGGTGAGAGGATTGCCTGAGCCCACGGGTTCAAGAACAGCCTGGGCAATTTGGCGAGACCTCATTTCTGCAATAAATCAAAAAATTAGCCAGGTGTGGTAGCGTGCATCTGTAGTTCCAGCAACTTGGAAGACTGTGGCAGAAGGATCACCAGAGCCCAGCAGGTCAACGCTGTGGTGGCTGTAAGCGTGCTACTGCACTCAACCTAGGTGACAGAGTGAGACTCCAACTCAAAAAGAAAAAAAAAAAACAGCTTATGATAACTTCTCTTTTTTGTCTTTAAAAACTTCCCCTTTGCCCAGACTCCCTTGGATGCACCTATGGTCTACCATAGCATGTGTATCCCAAATTGCTATTCCCACATAAAAACTGCTTTGAAGTGTTGGTCTCTCTGTCAGGCAGAGAGACAATGGTTGGCATTGGCAAGTGACAAATGACCACAGCAGACCTAGACCTAATCTTTGCTTCAATAAAGAATTTTTTTGGTTCTGTCACTTTTTGTGACATGGTAGATGTAGCAGATGTGGCCAGATGAAAAAAACAAAGACAAGACACCCTCTTTTCCTTTTTAGGGATTGCTATAAGAAGATACGAAAGACTAAGAAACTAACCATCAGAATATAGAGGGATAAGGAGGCCAGGCAGTAAACGCACACTGGTGACATTGGTGTAGGTGGACATTAACTGATTGGGGCAAGGTCTTTGAGGAAATGGAGAACATATGCATCATCTCAAAACTGGGGAGGAGGTAGGGAGACACTACTTTACTCTGGTCATTGCTTCCATGAAGAAATTCAGACTTTGCATTAACAATCTATTTTTTCACCGGGCTCGGTGGCTCAGCCTGTAGTTCCAGCTACTTGGAAGGCTGAGGCGGAAGGATTGCCGGAGCCCAGCAGGTCGAGGCTGCGGTGGCCCCGCTCTG